GAGGCTATGCATGTGTGGGGAGAAGAGACAGGGGAAATCTCTGTACTTTGCCTCATTTCTGCTCTGAAACTTGACTGTGCTAAATAACATCAAAGTAATTTTTAAAATATTGAATTACTATTATTTAAATGATTGAAAAAAATCAGAAACAAAATCATGACGATACTAATATTTCAGTGACAAGAAAGACTGAGAATTCTTCAGTTCCCTCCCTTGTGTTTAATTTCTGAATTCACACCTTAGGTAAGATATACTTAGGAAAAAATGTTTACAGACAAGAAAATTGACATTTTCCCCCCTAAAATCAATATTGGCATAAACACACAAAATTACTTTATGTTGAAATAAAAAGGAAAAAGGAAAAAAGTGACCCGATCCAGAGTGATCTCTAGGATGCTTGTCACCCGCTGTAAATAAATGACGTCCCTCCCCCACCTCTACCTGAATATCCTCCTTCACTGCTTCTCAAACTGGAACCTGCATCAGAATCACTGGGGCAGCTTGTGTGACACAGATCCATGGCCCCGCCCCCAGTGCTCTGCCCCAGGAGGTCTGGGCTGAAGCCAAGTGATGGTGATGCTGCTGGTCCTGGGACCACACTCCATGAGCCCCTCACCTCGCTGGTAGAACTGAAAAGACAAAGGCACAGTGTCCTTGAGGGTCCTCAGCCCACATGGTCCCATGACACTCGGGCAGAAGTGAGCACCACAGGCAGGAGACCTGGGGCAAGGACAGTCCTTCCCTCTCTTCACATTAGCACAGATTCGATGGTCCTTTTTCTGCTTAGAAATGCTGGCTGCAGAGACTAAACAGCAACCACCACCACACTGCCAGATGCTCCTGTATGACTGCCTTTTAGGGAACGTGATCGAAGCACTTTTCTTCCTGGAAGGGTTTCTGATGCTCATGCGTGTGGTTGAGTGAAAGCAACACGGCTTCCATAGCAACAGTGATGTGACCCCACTGGACACAAAATAAACCAAAACTCTGAAGTCGGGAGATTCCAGAGTGAATGTAATAAAATGATCCCATAATTTCTTGTGAGAAGTGAATAATGTGTGGTAAAGAAAGAGATGTTGGCCTCATACTACTTACTGTTCCGATAACCTGAAGCCCACAGGGCTTCCCTGTCTTGGCTGTTCTGCACCCGCAAGGGTCCTACAAATGCAGGACCCGCACTTGCGGTTGGTCGTGACAGTAGCAGGATAAGGGTGGTAAGATGCTAGTACCAGTTCCAAAGTCTCCGTGGGTTTTCCCCACACCCCCAAGCACTTTCTGACACCAGTCTGGTGTCTCACAATCCTGACGCTATCTACCCAGAGGTAGCTTCAGACTCCCCAGGTTAAGGGAGGACCCACTACTGTCCAGAGGTTCCAACTACCCATCTTGGGTTCAACTGACCTGCTCACAGAGCTCAGGGAAACATTTTACTTAGCAGATTACCGCTTTATTATGAAAGGATATAAAATAGGCACAGCCAGAGGGAAGTGATGTCTAGGCTAAGACACGGGGGAAGGGCACAAACGCCCCTGTTCTCTGCAGGCGGGCCACTCTCCCCAGATCCCCACATGTTCACCAACCTGGGAGCTCTTCTAAACTCACCCTTTCTGGGTTGTAATGGCAGCTTCATGACTGATTAAATTATTAGCCATTGGATTCAGCCTCCAGGTCCTCTCCCCTCCCCGGTGGTAGGGGCATGGGACTGACAGATCCAGTCCTCTAATCACATGGTTGGGTCCCCTGGAAACCAACCCCCATCCTTTGATTACTTGGGTGTTTCCCAAAAGTCACCTCATTAACATAACGAAAACAATTTCTCACTCTTCTCTCTTAGGAAGTTGCAGTGGGTTTCAGAGCTCTGAGCCAGAAGCCAGGACAAAGACCAAATACACATTTCTGATTACAAATCGCTACATCCAGGCGAGGAGACGGCACCTTCACCCACTGCCCATGATCATCCACTTAGCACTGCTTTTATCTGTGGACTCTGGGGATCTAAATTGTGTGTCCATTAAAGGCAAGTGTTTGGGGTATGTGAAATTTGCATATTTCAAGCAAAATTATGAAGAATACTGACTCCCATGTGAATCTGATTGGGGAACCACACCGGATTGTTGGATTTTAAAACTTCAGGAAGCCTGCTTTCACCTGGCCAATCACCAGGATCACAGTTTAAGGATTTATTTCCAAACATGGGATCCAAACAGTCATAATGGTGACCCTGGAATGATGGCAGATCAGAACCTTCCACACACTTGAGCGCTTGGAATTAATTCCCACTCTCATGACACACACACTACCTAGGAAGATTGTGACACTCTGTATCAGTATGTGGTCCAAGATAACTATTGCAGAAATATTATGCTACCTCGTGCAACCCCAGTGCATGAAGAAGACTCAGAACAGGTGGAGCGCTGTAAGCCCCCGCAACCACAGGACATTCTCATTAATGTGACTCAACTCCTCACTCTGAGAGCTGGGTTCCTTGAGTCTAATAAGAATAGACTGTGATTGGCAGGTGCTGGTTCAGCCACAGGCAGCAGCATCCTGCCCTACAGGTCCCACTGACGTGGCTGGAGGCTGCATTTATGGAAGAGCAGCTGTGCAAAGGGACAGTGCGGTCTCATCCATACCCTCCCTCTGCTCATTCACCTAGGGTACAACTACACTGTGCCCGACTCTAGGAAACAAACATGCCCATGGCATGCTTCAAATAACTCATGGACTGATGTTCTCAACGCTATGCCCTAGGTTATTTCTGTCACTCTCCTAGTATGTTTTCTTTTTTAATTAGATGAACAGCTTTATTGAAGGAGAACAGAGCCCCTCTTCCCCCAAGGTACCGGCAGCATCGGCCTCAGGGTCTGAGCATCAAGGCTCCCTGCAACCTGAGCATCTCATTATGTTTTTTTGTCCCTTTGGACCAGGTTGAACAATATGTCCACATCCACTCCAAAGAAAGAAGAATGAAAAAAAAGAAAAAGAAAAGAAAAAACCCAGAAAAATTAAATGCAAAACTTGATACGTTGTGGAGAGCAGAGGTATGCAACCATGGCCCTGGGGCTAAATGTGTTATGTACCTATTTTATAAAATACATATATTTGCAGCCCAAATGTGTTCCTTCATCCCGTAGAGTCTATGGAAATATACCTGCCGTGATGGCAGACCTGAGTAGGGGACAAAGAGACTGCACGGACAACAATCCAAAGGTTTTCTAGTGCTTCCTACCAACACCTTGTTGAGCCCTGGCACGGAGTGACCCACGCTGACACACACGGAGACGCACAGAGCTGCTGAAACAAATAGGTGAAAAGCATGAAACAAACAACCAAAAACTGCCCTTTTGTGAACTCAGCATTCAGCAGAGAGCCGAAATGCTGTGAAAGTAGCAGCTGAAATATCCTGAGGCCCAAGAAAGTCAGCGGGACCCCCAAAACAGGCCTAATCTAATCATTCACTAACCTTTGGTGGGTGTGGCCTCCTACTGGCGCCAACCCAGGATCCA